GTTGGCCTTGGCTCAGTGATCCAGCCTATCCGGATCCCTCTTGAGAGCCTCTCTGCCCTCAAGCAGATCAACACCTCCACCTCGCTTGGTGTTGTGTGCAAACTTACTGAGGGTGCACTCCATCCCCCGATCCAAATCATTAATAAAGATGCTAAACAGGAGTGGCCCAAGTACTTAGTACTTAGCCAACTGGATTTAACTCCATTGACCACAACTCTTTGGACTCAGTCATCCAATCAGTTTTTCACCCAGCAAAGCATATGCCCATCCAAGCCAAGACCAGCCAATTTCTCTATGAGAACGCTGTGGGCAACAGCGTCAAACGCCTTACTAAAGTCAAGGTAGACAACATCCACAGCTTTTCCTTCATTCAGCAAGCGGGTCACCTAGTCATAGAATAAGATCAGGTTTGTTAAACAGGACCTGCCCTTCATAAAGCCATGCTGACTGGATCTGATCACCTGGTTGTCCTTCATGTGTTGCATAATGGAACTCAGGATGATCTGCTCCATCAGCTTCCCTGGCACTGAAGTCAAACTGACAGGCCTATAATTTCCCAGGTCATCCTTCCTTCCCTTCTTATAGATGGGTGTTAAATTTGCTGACTTCCAATCAGCTGGAACCTCTCCAGTAAGCCAGGACTGTTGATAAATGATGGAAAGTGGCCTGGCGAGAACCCCCGCCAGTCCACCTAGTACTCTAGGGTGTATCCCATCTGGCCCCATAGATTTATGGACATTGACATGTAGTTACTGCCTGTCTCCTTGTGAATTGTGGGGGGGACATTTTGCTCCCAGTTCCATTCTCTTGGCTTGGGGGGCTGGCTTCCCTCAGTACAGGTGTTACTAAAGACTGAGGCAAAGAAGGCATTAAGCACCTCAGCCTTAATCCTTGTCTTTTGTTACTATAGCTGGAGTACAGCTGTTACTATAGCTGGAAAGTACTCAAGATAGCATCATTAGAAGTTCTAGCTTTACATTAAATTTGCCCGGAGTTGCCCCAACCAGCATCAGTGGGAGACAAGGACCAGGCACAGCTACTGTCTAATCAGAGTGGAAGTGCAGCAGCATCAGAGAGAAATGAATGTAGTCATTTGCTTTGTTGGACCTACAGGGCCCAGGGCTTGATTCCAGTTCCTAAAATTTTCTTGTTCTTTTAGACCCATTTTTAATTGCTTTGTCTCATCAGGGAAAAGAAATAGGTGAGCCGCAGGTCTTTTTTCTGTAAACTGTAAAGTGCTAAGAGAATATAAGTATTATCATTGCTATTTATTTTACCCTTTGGTGTTTTGTCTCTCCTTCTCAATTGGTTTATTATGACTAATGTCAAAACTCTGGTCCTAGTTATCTCTCTCTGGCAAAGAGATAATGTGACATTTAATACAATGTACCACAGGCCATCCTCTCCCTTCTAAACACAAAAATCACATACATAACAAGAAGCAATCATAACAATAGATGTATCTTTTATTCACAGATAAAAACCAAAGCAAGCTGTTATAATACACATTTGTACAAAGGATTTGAAAAAACCATAAAAAGGAAGATGATTAGAAAATATGATTAGTTATGAAATGTGGTATTACATACACTATTAAACCTTTTCAAAAGTATTTGTTTGGCAACAATTTATCAATAGTTTCCACACTTAAGTGGCCTCCTTCAAAAAAGCACAAATCTCATGCAGCATGTATAAACTTGATCCTGAGGGTTTGCCTTCCCTAGAAAAACTGTAAAAAGATATACTATTTGTTTTAAAAGTTCAAAATGCAAATGCTATATTTATAGTCAAAACCATATAAAAATATGGACCTAACTTAACATTTACAAAAACTTTTTGCTCCTTTTTTTTTGTTGTTTTATGGTTTTGGTAATAAACATAATTCTCAATTCCTGCAGTCAGAGAGGAAAAAAAGAGAACCAAAACAAACCACAGTGCCCTTTGCAGACTTCCTCACATTAAGTTTACAACTCCAAAAAGACCAGGTCTGTGATAAGTGAGGTTAGTAACCAAGAAAGTAGGTAAGCAGTTAATATATATCTATATATGTATATATAAAACAGAAAACAAACATTTATATTGATCTGAAAAAGTAATAATACAAAACCTGAAGGTAAAACAATCATCTCAAAATGCCATAATACACCTTTTCAATAGATAAATGCTCATAAAAATATCTTGAACCTTAACCAAGAAAACAATTATAATACAAATTTTAATTCTGCTACATAAAACAGCTTTTCTATGAAACAAGAAGGCAAGTTCAGGTATGAAAACATAATTTACTTATTGCTTTTGCTACAATGTTGTTTGTTTTTTTACATATAGTCATAAATACACTATACAGTATAAAAAATTTCGTAGGAATACATTTTGTGGTCTGCTTAGGTTTGCTGGCTTTAATTCTAGCACCAAATACAAAAATGAAAATCAAATGAACTTTAAAGGCACTTCCATTGTATGTTTGTTTGTTTTTTAATTAACAGCTTGTACTAAATTTCTTTGCTTCCCTCTGGAATAAGAAATACTCAATCCTATAGTTTTATCTTTGTACAGTTCAGGTCACACTGAGGCACCAAATGATTTATGAACATTCCCATCTCTCAGCTGTTTCGTTCTCTTACAACATTCATTGTTGCTTTTCAATCTTCACCCTTTCTCCTTCACATCCCAGCTACTTTATCTCTTTATTTCTTCATGTCGTATGATCCAGCTTCACTTCCTTCAGTCCCTTGAAAAACCTCTCTTCACACCTCCACTTCCCTTACTCCATCTTGTGCATCTGTTATTCCAATATCAAAACAGGTCACTATCATGATATGTGACTTGCACAGATTAACACATTGCTCCAGTTCCTCTGTCACTTGTTCCAGTGCCTCCAAGTACTCCTGTGACTCCTTATCGAGATCAGGATCCACTTCAACTGTCAAACAACAAAACAGTGAGTAAGAGAAACAGCTCACAGAAGAACATTATTCTATCACAAGTGAGCCAATAAGGTAGAGTACAATTTTATTTCTGTTAAAGAATTTTTTTTCACCTTGTTCAACAGATGTAAAACTTTACCTTGAGGCTCCAGTTAAGCACAGTACTCAGTCTGTGAACATATCAGGGAGGTTGGATTAAATGATCTCTGAGGTCCCTTCCAGCCTAAGCCATTCTACGATCTATGATATCTCATGCCTCAGTTTCCCAGTCATAACATGGATACAGAAACACTTTTCTCCTTCTTTGAAAAGAAGGACAATAAAAGGTCATACAAATATCTAATACTGACAAGCATCACAGCGAGTCTCTTCATTGTTTTGACATTTTCTTCTGGTTGGTTTGGAGGGGTTTTATTGTTAAGTTCTGGTACTACTCAGTAATGAACAAATCCCATACCCCAGAAATACGAATGGAATCACAGAGTATTTTAGGGGTCAGTTCAGCAAAATATCTTAGCAAGTGTTTAACTTTTTCAGTGGCATGGCTCACATGCTGAAAATCAGATCATATTGATGATTTTGCAAAATACTTACAGTCTTCTTTCCACTTATTTGGATCCATCATCAACCTGCACTTTGTCTCTTCCAACTCTTCCTTCAAAATTTCATGCTTTGCCTTTACTTCTCTAATTCGCTGCTGGCGCCTTTCTAGTATCTTCAGCTTGGTATGGAAATACATCAGCCCCTTTTAAGACACAGAAAGACCATTACATGAATTTGCCTCTTAGGAGCTGACCTCGAACAGTTTGACACAAATTGCTCCCAGCTCGTTACCCATAATGGTTAGCAGGTGGGTTGCTTTGTTTGGCTGTAGGATTGGTGTTCTTTGGTTTTAGGGTTTTTTGAGGGTGTTTTTTATTTAAAAGTTCATACTAACAGATTCTAATCTAGAGGAACAGCATGCTACATTGCTCAAGCATTTGTTGCACTTTCCTGAATTAGCAAACATCTCTTAATGTGTTCTGAAATTACTACTGTTTGTAGAAGATTATTTTTTCCAGTAGTACAAATGATAAGGACCGCATAATAACAACATTAGAGTTATATTTAATCCTAAAACATATGAATTCTTATTTTCTTAAAAGCATTCCTACCTTCTCAACATCCTGGAAAGGCTATTATGAAAGAAATGGGGAAAAAGGCATCAGAAGGATATAGAATTCTGGTCTCCAAAATAAAATTAGCTGAAGTGTTTTCCAATTACAAGTAAATTAAACTCAGTGTATCCCTGATTTAATAGAATCCTGTCATCTACATAAAGAGTTAATGACCCTATCGTTGAGGGAGCCTATGAGGTTTCATCAGCCAGGAGAAGATTATAAAGTGTTCTCATAATGTATTCATTGGTAACTTCGATTTACACCATCAGTCCTGTTAAACACAATTAATTTTAGACAGTAATCATTTTCATTTTCTGTGTTAAGGGTACACCAACATATGAATTGTAAAATTAATAATTATAGTGCTTTAATTGCAATCAATTTCCTGTACGCCATTCCAGCATTCAAGCAAGGACTCTGCCTGTATACTATAATTTTAGTTGTCTACAGTTGTTGTAAAATATGTGCTGACCTCAGTTTCCTCTTGTCTGTGTCGCTGTAATCGTTCCACATCATCAATCTCATAAACTTTAATTTCAAATGGCTCTTTTAAAGTTCCTGGCAAAGGTGGTAGATCAACCCATTGGCCAGTGATGCTGGGTTTTCTTCCTAGTGAGGCAGCATCTGGCAATGGAGCAGGAATCAGTCTACGACGCTGGAGACCTAGAATACAGAAGATAAGGGTTCCTCAGACTCCGAGAGACTAACAGACTGCAGAGTGTACTGCAGTGAATTAAAGAAATATCTAGGGTCTCAGGATACTTAGGAAGAAATGCTTTTCTTGATCTTTTCCTATTAGTAAAACACCCTCAGGCTGCTAGTTGTGCCTTGACAAAGTATGTTTCAGTTAATTCACAGAGGCGAATAAGAGCAGTTCCTCACCCAAAGCAGATATCTGAGCATCAGTTCTGTATTCTTTCTTTGCAAAAATATTTTGCCTGGATTAATTTTTCTTTCATAGGTGACAATGTTATTCATTACCTTTCAACAGCAATGAGATAGTGAGGAATTTCAAACCAATATTGACAATGATAGATGAATCTGGAAGTCGTCTCCTCTTCCAGTTAAAGCCAAGCAAGGCTATCCAAGATCCCTCTCTTTGTATTACCACTTTCCAAAGAGTAAACAGTTCTCTCCAGAATGACTGCCAATGCTCTAAGGACTAAATACCAGCAGTTTTCAATGATTTAATGGGGCTGAGAGGCAGAAACTGGAGCTACCTCTAATGCCAAGGCCTATCACCACTCATCTGCACCAGCACTCAGAAGCTCAGAGCATGATAAAACTCACCAATTCCTCAACAGAAGGTGTCCCAGATTTACAAACAGCACACTGCCATCTTGATGCATCTGCTAGGGCTCAAGTATCTTGAAGTAGAGACTGACTTATATCCTTAAAAAATGCTGGTACTTTTTGTGTACAAGAGCTGGCACTTTGGTGTCCAGCTTGTTTTGTGATTTTAAGTCTCTATTCATCCTCTAAAAGGCTGACCTTCACACCACTTGTGTCAAGGACGAGTACATGCACAGAGGTTTTCAGTCAACATTAACAAGGCTGCTCTCCAATTCCTAGGTAAATAGGAGGGCTGAAAGCCACCAGAAGCAAGCTGAAATGTCTCATATAAAAGCAGCCTTTGGGTGACTGGTGACAATAAATAAGAAATAAAGTGTCTAATTTCCTCCTCTTATTAAAAACCAACTCAGAGGTAAGGAGTACTATTTCTTCTGGTCTTCCAACAAAAGGGAACACACCAAACAGATGAGACAGTGCTGCTCAGAGGATAGTGCTGCCAAAATCACTTCTGGGATGAGACTTCTAAACGAGAGTCAAGTTCAAGTTAAGGCTGTCAAGCAAGCCCTGTCACAAACTTCAACATGAAATGGAAATAAAATCCCATCACGTATCCCCAAAGCAACACACCTCTGTAGATACCTGAAGAGTTACCTGCTTTACATAGTCTTAAGAAAAACATCCTTAATTCTTAACTGCATCCTTCCTAATTTCTAAGCAACAAGAACAATCACAATGGGAATGTTCTGGAAAGGGGAAGTCTTGATTCTGTTTCTACAGAGTGTGTTCATCATTCTCACAACCTCAACTCATTCCGTCTGAGTCACCGCTACAGCTCTGCCTTCTGAAATCACCCACTGTAACTGATCCTGTAACCACACTGGCGACAGTAGGATCTCTCTGAAAAGGACACCAAACAGACACAGTGAAATACATATTAAGCAACAAACTTCATACCAGCCAGAGGCAATGTAGTTTCTCCAGATATAAAGTTAAAGGGTAAGTGGACAAGGTTTTCGGTGACATACATGGGAGTAGGATCTGTCTTTAAATCCAGAGACTACGTGACTCCAACACAGGTTGCAGCAACATAAGCTACTCCAAGAATCTCTCACACTTTGCAAAGATTTCAATCTATTTTAGGCCAATAATGGGTCTGCACCAAGCAATTTGTGTAAGAAATATTTCATGAACTTCCTAGAATATTGCATTGCGTGTATAAAACACATTATTGTCTCACAGCTACAGCACTCCAAAAGAGTAATACATAATTTACTGATATAGAGCAATTTCAATTGGAAGAAGAAATAATTCATCGTTTTTAAAGACCTGATAAGCATTTCCTGAGGGAAAACCAAATACAGATCCATCAGTGGGTAATGCCTTCTCAATATGTGCACAACTTACACAGCTGTTAATATTGATTTGTAAGAAAGGTTTAAGAGGTTGATATGTTATGGAAAGAGAACTGCAGCAAATGTTGCACTAAGTTTCCAAAATGATTTATCACCCACTGAAGCAACTCAGTTGTCTTGACCAGAAAGCACCATGAGATCTACATTAGTTTAACCCACTTGGTTTTACTGCCAGGATCAAGCATCATGGGTGTCTACAGGGACTGCAATAATTGCTGCTTTCCAACCAAAAGCTCAGATTCAGTGCATTGCTGATATTAGTTCCTACTAAATTTCCAACAGTCAGCATGCTTAGGCTGCTGAATGAGGCTGCTGGTCATTCACATCACTGATTGCCACTGATTCTTCACAATACTAGAGGACTCCACCTACATCAGTAAAAAAGCACACTCTAACAGCAGTCACACGAGCCTGATTTTGAAGCTGGCTACAACTAGCCAGACTTACATGAGTACCACCTGTGAAAGCAATAAGGCAAGGCACCAGAGAGCAGAAAAGGGGAGCTCTCATACACCCACAGTGTGGTCAGACACATCTGCCTTGGCACATCTGCCGGAGCGAGCTGTGACTGCCCCAGTTAGTTTCCCATTGCTTATAGTATCCACAGGTACACTCTAAAACTGTTTTCTTTACAGAAAGTTTACAGAACTGCTTTCTTTTCTTTCGTTTCTTTACAAATAACACTATTACAGTACAGTACAATAATTTTATAATTAGCTGATAGCATAAACATAAGAGTTACTACATCTTACATGTGCATCCTACTGCTCTGCCCCTAAGCCTTAACTTTGGGTAATCTAATGCACATTCAGCAATCCTCATTAACTCACAAAGACAATTCTCCCCTCCAGACCCATTCCCTCATTTCCAAACTGCAGTCCCAGCCTATTTCACTGAAATTCCCTCTCTGACACCTGGCAGCAGAGCTCCTCCTCTCCTCACTGCCCCTCCCTGACATATATTTGATCCTCACAAAAACTCATCAGCACCCACCCAGCACCCTCACTCTTCCCAACCCATCCATAACACCCTCTTATTTTGGTACACCCTAGTGCCATGCTTGCTGCTGACCCTAGTGAAGGAAGAAGGAACGTTCCCCCATCTGCTGGGGGCCATTTGCTGTCTCCTCCCTCGCAGGGAGGCTCCCAGTGCCTCAGGGCACTCAGCACCTCTCCTGCCCTCTCTGCTGCAGCACCTGTGTCACACCTGTAGCTTTGAAGTGAAATAAATGACAAGTACCTGCTGTCACAGCAACACACGTGCACACACAAGTGCATGCAGGCAGCCCACCTCCCCGTTTTGCGTTTCCCTCAAACCTTCTCTCCCTCTCTGGCAGGGATGCCATGTAAACCTCTCAGGTTTACATCCTCAGGGATGCAGCCGAGCTCCAGTGGACACCTTGTCTCCTTCCCCTTCATTTCTTACCTGTTGATCGTTTTTTGGGGGACTTGAGGCTCCTCATCCGGCCCGGTGACGACATCCCGCTTTCGCTCATAGAGTCATGTGCCGAGGAGGCGCTGC